CCATACTGCTGAGAATTACTGTCTTCCTAGCACTGTGTCTGCCATACCGTCAGGGCAGTAGGGAGCTGGTGAAGACCCCACCTCATCCAGCAAAGCCAAATGAGTATAACACTTACTCCAAACTGAAAATTGGGTAAAAAAATCAAATGCTATCTTCAAAGGAAAAGAATTTCAGAGACCCAGGTCAATTTCTAATTCCTCCAGAATGAAAAATTATGTAGACTAAATTAGTCACAGTCAAAATCACAGCACATTTAAATAAGAGTTCATAGTTTCAATTTAAGACAAAATAAGCTAAGAAAATTGTCTGTTCTATTTGTTCATAATCATTAGCATTTAATACGGCAAGAATGCAACTGTATTATATTATACAGATGCTCCTTCTTCTCAAAATTTTTGAAAAAAATCCTTCCAACATCCACATAATTTTAGATTTCAATAAACCTCATAATTTCAAAGTATTCTTAGAGAGGAATGAAGGTACATACAGGAGCAGTGAGTTATAAGAACACTGAAAAAGCAGACAAAAGTTGGTTTATTAAGAAATTATTAAAAACAACTACTTACATGTTAAAACAATATCATGCCTACATCCTCCCAGCTTCAGTTTACAGCTCTCTACTCTTGTCTTCATTGTTATTCATAACAATAAAAAATTTCTCAGACAATAATTACTAAATTTCTAAGAGGTCCATGACATTAACTCTAATAGATTTTTTTTTCCCATTTTGGAACACTCCAACACAAATCCACTGGGTCCAGAAGCATAAGACAACTAGATCCACAAATCTGGCAGCACTCAAAGTTAGAAGCTACTTCTACATGTGCCTCAGTTAACCTGGCATGTGTTGGTTAATATGACATTAAATCAAACTAAAAATATTTGTGCAGATAATAGCATTAATGCCAGCAAATTGGAAATTTCTCTGTCTTGTTTCATTTATAAATTAAGTTAACCTTGTTGTACCTAACAAATAAGTTTCTGATATGCTGAAGAGAATCAAATACAAGTTTCAACAACAATTGACTTTGATACTTCAGAAACATCCAAATTTAATCACCAGTCTTGCTGTCCTTTTCCTCTTCTACATATACCACTATAAACAAATGCTGATATATATAAGAAGAGATTTCTAAGCAGATAAAATCTTGCACAGAGTCTCTCTTTTGCCTTCCATCTACAGAAATTCTGCTGCATTCTTCAAGATCTCAATCAAATCACAAGTCCTACTGAAAACCTCACACTATGGACCTCAACCGAAGCAATCAGTATTCAACTCTCACCAGGGACCTGTTGCTTATAATTCTGATAACATTCATTTCATCCTACCTTCTAATAAATATGTTTATAAGCCACCAGCTATAACAGCCTTTGCCTGGTCTTCATTATTTCTATCAAGAGACAGCAATATCTCACACACATAACACAAAAGCTACAACAGTTGGGGTCTTCCTAAAACTTTTCATTCATGATTTTTTAAAAATGGGTAAAAAATGGACCCCTCTTTCTCTCCCACCAAATTGGCCGTTACTTCTTTGCTTTCTTATTTCTCCCAATGGCAAAACCACTGAGACCTTATAGCGCCTTGGAGTCTTCTTTCTCACTTACTGACTAATCTTGCACTAAGTACTCTGCAACATCTTTGCACTTGTTGCCATTACAAACATCCTTCTTCAGTCCCTCTTTTGTGTTTATTGAGACTATTACAATAGGCTCCTAACTGGATGATTCCCATGATTAATACTAAAATAGGCTCTAATTATAATAACAGTTTCAAAATATATGAAGCAAAGTAAATGACATGTACAAAACCTCAAGGTATAATTGCATATTTTAGTAATTCTCTATTAGCTATTGATAGACAGAGAAAATCAGTAAGGATATAGAAATCACTAGAGACAGAGAACATGGTGAAATACTTTGGCATAATTGATACCTATAGGAAATTTCATAATAAATGCAGAATATAACTTATTTTATAGTGTGCATGGAAAATTCATCAAGTTAGACCATATTTGGGGCCATGAAGCAAGCCTTGGTAAATTTCAAAGTATCAAAGTCATGAAGAGTATGTTCTGTGACCACAAGAGTGGTAAGTTAGACATGAATAATAAAATATCAAAAAAACTTTCCACATAATTTCAACACGAAACAAGCAGAATACTTCTAGAAAGAAAAAAAAAAAAGAAAGAGAGAAAGAAAGCCATGGGTCAAAGAAATCATAACAGAAACATTTTCCACTTCAATCTAAATTGCAATGAAAATACAACTTCGCAAAATTTGTAGAATGCACTTAAAGTATTGCTAAAATAAAAATTTATAACTTTAAATGCTTATATTTGGAAACAGGCATTGAAATAAAGCTTCCAACTTAAGGGGCCAGAAAAAGAGCAAAAAGATAGTACACAAAGTAGAAGGAAATAAAAATAAGAGTAGAAATCAATAAACTATAAAAAAAATAAAGAGTAAAAAGTTGTTTCTTCAAAAATATTAAGGAAACATTCACCAAGACTTATAAAGAACAAAAGATAGAAAACAAATCACCATTATCAGGGATATAAGAAGCATCAATACAGATCTTATAGAAAAAGAAGATATTATAAAAAATTATGCCAATAAATTTGATAACTTAGATGAAATAGAGAAATAAATATCTTGAAAGGCATAGATTAATAAAGCTGACTCAATAAGAAATAGAAATTCTGAACAGCCACCTATCTTTTAAAGAATTTGAGTTCAAAATTTAAAACCTTCCAAATATGAAAACTACCAGCACAGAGGATTTATTGGTAAATCCTATCATACATTTAAAAATAATACTGTGAACTTATTACATTATAGATAACAAGCCAGAACTAATAAGCTTAATAAGGTTGCAGAATATGAGGTTAATATATTTTAAAAATTAACTGTGTTTCTACATTCTAAAACCAATGTTGGGAATTCACATTTTAAACGTCATTTAACATTATAAATCAGAAAAAAAGTAGAAACAAACCTTAAAAAGACATGCAAGACCTATTTTTCTGAAAACTATAAAACATCCCTGAGGAAAGTTAAAGGAGACCTAAATAAATGGACCAAGAAACCATGTTCCGGGATTGAAAGATTCAGTATTAAGATGCCCATTCTCCTCAAATTAACCTAAACATTCAACATAATCCTATCAAAACATCAGCAGATGCCTTCTAAGAATGTAACAAGCTGATTGTAAGATACATAAAGAAATTCAAATCTTCTGTAGATACAAAGCAAACAATACATTTTCATTAAATTCATAAAGCAGAAATAAAAGTAATCACCTTAAGAGACAACAAACGTGATGGTTTTTTTTTTTTTGAAAAGTTAGGTATTTGAATATAATTATCTAAATGCACAAATATTCTTTTTCATCTCGCCCCCACTGACACTTTTATATATTTGTAGTACACTAATCCATACCCAAAGAAAGAAATCACTTTTAGGATGACAACAATGATGATGCTTACTAAAAGGAAAACTGGGCTGTAATCTAGTGCTAATTAGTGAATATTCCTTGACATGTATAGAGACAATACAGCGTTTTACCTGTAAGTCCCATAATTAGACATCACTGTAAAGAGATGTCTCGCAAAACCACAAGGACATCCTCTGACTCCTGCTCCCGGCACAGTTCACGCCTTCAGTTACACTGGAGCATCGCTGCTCAAAGAGCGCTTTGGGGACTGCCCCAGACTGCTCAATAATCGCACTAACATAGTATTTGCCTTTTTTACACTCAATTTCCCATAAATGTAAAGTGCAGTTTTCCCAGAGGTTCCATGACATGTAATATAACAACAGATTAAATGTAGAAACAAAACTGAAAACACAACCATCTTCTGAAACAGCAATGAAAGAGATTTACAAAAATGCAAAACTGCCACTTTCAATATTTTTGTCTAGGAAAAGAGTTAAATTTCATTATTTTTTATATTACATGTAATGGATTTATGTTACATGTACTTCTTATTTTAAAGAAATATTTTTAATTCTTAGTTTTAATTTTTAAAATGGTAAGTACTGATACACATAACATGCAATAAAATTTTTGAGAACTCAGAGAACTTTTAAGAATATAAAGTGGAACTAGAAAACTTGAGAATCACTACCTCACAGTAATAGACAATTTTAAGTGGCACATAACAAATAACTGATCACTAAAATAATAAAAAAAAGGGATTACCATATGTCAATACTTCATTTTTTGTAGTGGGACACTATAGTAAGTCTCTTTCTGTATCTTAAATTAATTAAGTTCACTAATGAAAGACAAGACCTCAGGCCAACACAACATAAGATACACTTAGGATCCCCACACATAATTGCTGTTTTTCTTCTTCCCCTTCTTAAGGCATCTCTCGAATAGCTGAACAGAAAAGTAGTTTTCTAAGTTTCTTGTCTAAATTTTAAGTTACGTATTACCTATATATTATACATATTAACTCTGTCCCCTGCTCTCCCAAACTCTTCTTCCCTTATTCTATTGTTCTCACCATTGTGCTTACAGCCTTCTATTATATAATTTACCTAATTATTACATTTTTTCTGTCATCCCACTCAATAGTAGGTAAGCAAGAGTAGGATTTTTTCTGATTTACTCACTAATGTATCCTCAGCACCTATAACAGTGCCTAAGACAAAATAATGGAAAAAACAAATACTTGTTGAATGAATTAATAGATATTTTACTGGAGTAAAATATAAATTTTACCAGGAGAAGACAAACATGTCTTAGCAAATTAACACTTTCAAACGGCCGGTAGACACAGAGTGATGTAGACAGGAGGGATTCGGTAATTGATAGAAAAACTCTCAGGACAGAACAGTTTTCCCTCCTGGACCCGGAAATGAAAGAAGAGATAAAGGAAAGGACAATATGGAAATAATCTGAACTGGAGGTAAGAGAAGTAGGCTTTTTCCAGTCCCAGATTCCAAGAATGTAAACAAAGAAAACTACGAGTGAGCGCAGCAAACACACCTCTCTTCTCCCGATGTATTTCTTCCAGAAGCTGCTCCTGCCTTTCTATCTGATCAAACAGACACTGGAGCTCGGATTCCTTGTTCTCAGTCAGGTTCCTGAGCTGCTGTCTACACAGCGTTAGCTCGTGCCGTAGACTTTTCTCTCTGTTTTCTCTCTCTTTCAGTTCCTCACACAGCCACTGAAGTTTAGTCTAAAAAATGACATTTATAGCTAATTAAGAAAAAAAATGGAAATCTAAAAAAGCAGTATTTCAAAACAGTAGGAAGAATAATACCATGATAATATGAACAAATACAGACAACTAACACATTTAGGCAAAATAAAAAATACACCATTATTCATATCAGTTCAAAGTTGGTGTGAAATCAAGCCATGGTTTTCTTGGATTTTTATAAAGATTTGGTTTAATCTATCATCTTTATCAAGGCATTTGGCCTACTAACTAAAATTCCAATCAGAATACAATTAGCCCCCTAATTTGGTATATAAAGTTTAGCAAAACATGCAAAAATCAAAACCACCCTGGAATAGGGCTAGAGATTCCCTATAAAAGGTTTTCTTTCTTTTAAACATGATTTTTTTAAAGATTGTATTTATTTTTAGACAGTAGGAAAGGGTGGGAGAGAGGGAAAGAAACATCGATGTGTGGTTGCCTCCTGCACGCCCCCTGCTGGGGACCTGGGTGGCAACCCAGGCGTGTGCCCTGACTGAGAATCAAACCAGTGATTCTTTGGCTCACAGGCTGGCTCCCAATCCACTGAGCCACACCACCCAGGGCTAAAAGGGGGTCTTACTGCAGATAGTAAAAAAAATTTTTTCTAATTTTGCTTGCTAAAAATGCATATCCCCAGGATCTAGCTAATCAGGTAGAAAGAAAGACTTTAGGGAAATAAAGTTAGCCTTTCCCCACCTTGAAGAGGTGATAAATTTCTATCAAAGCAACTTTTTTTTTCACAGACTCTTAACCTCACCATCTTTAATATTTAATCCATTCTTGCCCAGTGATTGAACTACAAATTTACAAAATAATTTCATATTTCCCTTTTCTCAGTGCTTCCCTACTTACTCCATCCCATTATTTGGCCTGTGTCAACTACCGTCACTAAGAAGTGATAATAGAGAAACAGCAAATCTGTTTTGTCGTAGCAATAATCCTATTGGTTGTGGGGGGGAATAATAACCCCCCAAAAGCCCCTCTGATATAAAGCACTAATCAGGTTTGATATGTGTTGTTATGAACTGAATTGTGTCCACCCAGAATTCATATGCTGAAGCCTTAAACCTCCATGTGACAGTATTTGTAGACAGGACTCTTAGTGAGGTCATTAAGGTTAAACGATGTCATAAGGCTGGGACACAAGGGTTTATAAGAAAGCTTGCACTTCCTCACCTTTCTCTCTGATTCCCAGCTCCCCAACTTTGCCAACCCACACTATCCCACCCCACCCATGCACAAAAGGTGGCAGCCTACAAGCCAGAAAGAGGACTTAACGGAAACCAACTCTGACCCCTTGATCTTGGACTTCTAATCATTAGAACGTGAGAAGATAAATGTCAGTTGTTTAAGTCACTGCCCAGTCTGTGGTATTTGGTTATGGTAGCCTAAGCCGACTAATATTGTATAATATAACTTATAGCTTTAGTTTATTTGTATGAAACCTTTATTCCATTGCCATACAAAATTTAAAAATAGGTTATAGTTAGATGCCTTTTATGAATTGACTAAGTATACAGAATATACTATTAATCCTACAAAGCAAAATAGTGTACCAAATTATGGGAATTTAATCAAACAATTATCAGTTATGAAAATCTGTTAGAGAAACACTCAGCATCTTCATTAAATAACTTGCCGAAACAGCTTGAAACACAGTATAGGAATAACTTTAACAATTCCAAATAATAATTAGCTGACAAGACTATTAATCACAGTGCCAACACCATTCTATTAACCACTCACAAGAGCATTGTACAGATTACATAATAGGTTCATTTATTTAACTACATCAATAAGTATTGTTAAATAAACCAAAATAGAGAAAGAATTTCTAAATAAGGCAGTTTTTACCTTCATAGTTGACAGCTTGCAATTATGTGGAAATACTTATAATGATCTAGTAAAACAACCAAAATGGTCTTTTTAATCTATAAGAATATCCTTACTGAGAGTTAGTGTAATAATAATACACTAAAGTCATAAAGGAACCACTCAAAGCTAAAAGCTAAGGCAAACAGCAAATCTGAACAAAAAGACTACAGCTAATAAAGTTAGCAATATTATGACCTATAATTATGCTTACATACCTTCAAAATTCATCTGAGCCATCAGCCTCCTTGCCAGCTTCTGTATACCTCTATCGAAACCCTTCTATATAATATTAAAGTTACTATGTGTCAGTTTTTCCAAACAAAATATGTTCCTGAAGAGATTCGTGTCTTAATTCATTTTTTATGTCCAGAGCATACAACAAAGCAAATAGGACACAGTAGTTTCTCAATAAATTCTCTATTAAAGTGAATAAAATTTGGTCTCCACATCCCCTGTCAAGATTCATGACAAAAACAAATCCCTGATCCCTGGGAACTCCTGGCCTGGCACTCCTTAACAAGCATCTCAACCCCCTTCCTCCCATAATGTCTTCTCACTATTCACGGGCTATTTTATCTGTGAGCCTGGTCCCACTCTAAGGTGAAGTTCATGTGTATGTTATGCCAACTAAACAATAGTGACACAATCCCCACTCAATCCTCTAGTTCTTTTAGGATTAGCACTAACAGAAGAAATTCATTTGGCAGATTTACGAAAACAATTACCAAAGGCCCTCACAGGTCCATCTAATACTGCAAGATGTCAGCATGGACTAACTGAATAGCAATTCTACTTTCCATATAGTTTTTGTCCTCTGACTTCAGATCTTATCTTCAGTACTTATAGAGCTGCCCACTCGTAGTTCATGGGAACTACAGTATTGTAGCCCATCAATAACCTAAGCCATCTTTCCAGTAAATAGATTCAATTCCTCCTTAGTCAGCTGGTCAGTGTGGCATTGCTTATCAGGACCCTTTCACACTGTAGAGGAACCGTTGTCTCCTGCAGTGTTAAAACCCATCTGATCTGAAGTTCAATCCCATTAAATGATAAGGGAAAACTGCTCAGAAGCTCCCAAATTAAGGAGCTATGATTAAGAGTCATCTCTGGCACTCATAATTTAGCTGAACAACAGCAGTGAAAGCATTCTGTTCAGAAATGATAAAGGCTTTAACTTGAAAGAAAATTCCAAGTATATTGCTCTTGTCAAAAACGTGGAGTTGGGAAAAAGAAACAAGAGAAATGCTTTATTAATGCATAACAGAGGTTTCTAGTCCAAAAATTCTGGGACATAGAACATGTGTATTAAAAATTGCCAATGCAGGTGGCATAAATGCTAATTTACATTTACATTTTGGTTCTATCAAAAATGGTTAAGAATACACAGGATCACTGTTCTTAAAGTAGGATAGAAAATTCTACAAGGTTATGTCAGTTTCTATGTTTACCCATAATACTGTTAGTTTCTCATTCAGAATTTTTGAGGGGGGCTTCTCTAATGCATATCTAGTCTTCAAAGGTGAACCTGGTCTTTCCACCACCTCCCACCTGTACCTTACCTACCTATCTCAGGCATTATCTGTGTTTATTCAAATACTGTCATCTTCTTGTCACTGTTTTACCTATAATTAGCCAACTGGAGAACGTGTACATATTTTTTGTATGACCAAGTTTAAATACTGAGAATTTGCAGAAGCCTTCTGTGATCACCCCCCCAGCACCAACACCATAGTTCTCCCTTCCTGTGTTCTTTCGTCAATGCTTACATATTTCTATAACAATATAACACACCTTAAGGAGATTTAAAATTTGTTAATGTCGCCCTTCCCCCTATTAACTTCACTAACTTCCGTGGCTTGCTAACACTTACATCCCCAATGTCCATCTACCAAAAGTACACAACCAGTAATTCTTGGCTGAAAGGCAACTTTGGGTGGCAATACACACAATGGAAAGAACCTTAAGTGTGAATCAACACGGCTTTTAATCTATCTTCCCATTATTCATATGGCACTGGAAAAGTCACATACCTTCTCTGAAACCTCACTTTTCTCCTATTTTTAAATAAGGACAATGTACAGACTTGAAGGTTCTTTCTTGCAATAAAATCCTAAGTTGGACCACAATTGGTCAGGTTTACAGTACTGGTGGTTTTCTTACAGAATTTCAATGGGATGGAAGACTTTGCACATTAGTAGGTTAAAGCTGAAAAAAACTAGTCTAAAGAGGAATGCAAGTGCTTAAGTATTAATACTAGAATAAACATATATCTACATCTTATGTGGTCATAATTTTCTATATATTTTAATTTCTATATATTTGAATTTACAAATTGATTTATGAAGATACCTGATAATTACACAATACGTAGAAAAATCTTTTGGCTAAGATGAGCAAATTGTCCAATTTTACTTATATTTGCTTACCTTCCATTAAATTTGAATCATAATTCCAAAGAAGCATGAAGCAGGAAAGTTATCTTCAGAACTTAAAGTCAATCCCTCCACTTTTGCAAACAAGGAAACAAGACACCCAGAAAGGTGAAGGGATTTGCTCAAGCCACACGGAGAACTGGCAAGCTTTGGGCTCACCCTCAGAAACCAAAATATGGTAAGCATATATGTGTACGGAAGGTTGGTTACAGCTGCCTTGACCTTTGTACACTTCAGAGACGTTGCCTGTCCCAAGGAAAAGGCACCAGAATTTGTCTCTCTGACAATCTAACTTTAGTATTTCAACAGTATTACTGCCTTTCTTTATTCTCCCACCCCACCCCTATCCATTTAAGTTAATTTTTAAATATTAAGCTAAAGGAACATGCAGGTTTCTCAAATGCATTACAATGATATCTTGCCCAGCAATAAAGTACTACAGCTTCATAAGCTCAGTTATGTGACAAAAATAGATGGTTAGCCCAAACAGAACACCTCTAAGCTCATAAATATTATGATAACCTTAGGATTCAAAGATTAATTACCTTGCTTTCTGCTAACCAGCGATGTGGGTCATAATTAATATCAGAACCAGATGAAAAAACCTGAAAAAAAAAAGAAAATAGTCTATCAAAAGTAGATTTTTCTCTGAAATGAATTTACCTGCATGAAATTTTTCACTGCAACATCCAAAAGTTCAGTGCCTAAACTTAAGGGTTTAGAAAGAAGATCGTTCATACCAAGTACTCAGCCTATTCCAAAACACCATTTATTTAACATGTCTATTTATGTAAGCATACATATGTACACTGGTAATGTATGTCTGACAGCAAATTATTTAGTTCAAGTGCAAAAACATGAATCGACTCTTAGTGCTATCATTGCTAGAATCTCTGGAGACTGATTCCGGAGTTCTACATGTCAGGCAGCCTCAATTAAACTAGTTTATCTCATTGTGGGTTTTTTTGTTGTTTCTTTTCCTCAGCCTTGCTCCACATAATGTATTTCACAGTGGGCTAAATGTAATTACATGGAAACCTAATTCTTTGTCTCATTTATCCTTCTTTAATTTTATACCATGAGGGCCCTTTTGTCTCATTAATGGTTGTATAGAAATGACAGGAACTAATCAATGTAACTTCATGCAATCATTCCTTTATATTTCATCATGGTAACAAAATCCTACAATAAATAGGTTGTCTATTGTCAGCTGACCTGATTTCCTTCACACCAACTCATTTATAAACTCATTGTCATCTGGCTCTGCATTATTACTGATGAAACTGTACTCAGAGGTTGCCAATGATTTTACAATTGTAAATAAATTATTTTTTTCTCAATTCCTACTTTTGTTAAACCTATGATATTTGTGAAGGGCTTTTTTCTGGAAACGTTCTATTAAAAATATCCTATCCTCTGCAAAGGATGTCTCTTCCTGTTCTCAATATTTCCATTCTTTCTGATGTGTGTGCACATCTCTCTCTCCCTGAAGAAACATCATTAGGTAATTCATTCAGACATATGACAATGAGTGCCGACCACATGGCACATACAAGAATGTTGTATTCTCATATCCAACTTTCTCTCATCTACTCTTTCGCTATGAACCTCACTTAACTCTCATACTCTCTCTCCCTGTCTTTACAATGAAATTTTCCCTAATCACTCTAGGGCAGGGGTGTCAAACTCATTTTCACCGGGGGCCACATCAGCCTCACAGTTGCCTCCAAAGGGCCGAATGTGATTTTAGGACTGCATGAATGTAACTACTCCTTAACTAGGGGCAAGGAGCTAGGCGCTGCCCCTGGGTAGAAACAAGGTGCCGGGCCAGATAAAACAGGGTGGAGGGCCAGATTCGGCCTGCGGGCCTTGTGTCCGCCACCTGTGTTCTAGCGCATAGAAAAAAGTTTGTGCTGATCCAATGCCTACCCTCTTTGTGCTCTATACATAAATGGGAAAACCTCTTGAGTTATCAAAGACTGACCTGGGAAAATGACACAACTTTAATTCAGACAGTTTCCTATTTGTTTTATTATGGTGGTGGTGTACTAAGTGTCTATCCTGAAGTTTTCAAACACTATAGGCATTTACTAAAGTAGAATAGGTAATAAATACGGTGGTTGGAAAAAGAAAATTGCAGTTAGAAATAACCAATACCCCCAAGGACTTTCCCAGACTCGTTTGTTACATATCCATGATTCAATCTATTCCACAGCACAGTCACTCTCTACAGAAAACGAGTGAAAATTTCATCAGCAATACTTCAAAAAGTCGACAAATGACAGGGAATAATTGGAATTAATCCATTTCTAAAAACATTTTACAAGGATCACCACTCTCCCATAGGCCTCTGAACTATAAAGCAAAGAATTGATTTAACAAGTACCCAAGGGTGGTTTCTTTGAGGTGAGAGCAAACGTTATGTTCTTTGGTATTCCTTTATTTTTTTCCCTCAAGTTTACGGAAATGAAACAACAAAACTTATACGTAGAAAGAGATTCACATGAAAAAAATGACTCTTAAAAATAAAGACTGAATACAATTTCCATTCTTTTAAATTTATGTCCACCCATCACTTCGAGAAGAAGGTGTAAAGGCCCATTACTACAATTATTCCATTCCTGAGCGCCTATTACAGAGGAGGGTGCTTTGCAGAGCATGTTGGGTGGAAGGACAACCCGAGCAATCTGTTGTGTGCACACTATGTAACCACCCACAGCGAGGTTTCTGCACCTTACAGCGTGATCCAAGGATTCCACTTCTAGATCTCTACTTGACTGAAAACAAGTTGTCCTTGCATAAATACTTAACTCTAAAACAAATGCTGCACTGTTACTATGTGATTCTTTTAGATCAAATCAGGATTTCCTGGCTACACATCCTTTAAATGTATGTAAACAAGAAAAATCATAAATAAATACAGCAACATGAGACAAGAAAAAGAATAAACCAGCATTATAACAGGCCCTAGAACAGGACTGAAGGAGTTCATTTTTCCCTAAAGCAAATTACTTCCCATATTTGGCTCACAGTCCTCTTGAAGTGACATCTGATTTGTTTTAAAAATGTACATAGAAATATATATTGCAGAAATTCCACCAACTCCACCAAATTCTGTCAGTTTAAACATTTTCATTAAAGTTAAATCCTAAAACAGCTTCTACTTCAAGAGTAAAATTATAGTTTTATTTTCTTTAAAACACCACTTAAGCAAGAGAAGGAAAAAATAGTAAGAAAGAGCAGGAAAAAAGAAAGGAAAGTAGTATGAAATGGAATGGTCATTTTATATGAGGAAAAGGAAGAATGACGAAATAAAAGGAAAAACGTGAAGAGTATTTTTAAAAGCCCTTATGCATGATACATGATACTATAATTTGAGTACTGTCGTATCATCAAATGAAATAAACACGGGGGTAAATGACAGCTTGTGTCAGGTTATAACGTATCAAAGCAATCCAATGCTCTCTGTAGGTAATGCAGCAGTACTAGAACCTAGAGATAATAGAGGTGCTTACCTTCAAGAAATTACGAATATCCATGATTACTTCTGTTTTTATCATTTCACTAAAACTATAAATTGAGTAGCAATCAATATTCCATTTTAAAGATAGAAAAGCTAAATTAAATATAATTTAATTTAATTTGTTTAAATAGGGAGGGCAGAGCCCTGGCTGGCGTAGCTCAGTGGATTGAGCACGGGCTGCAAGCCAAAGCATCGCAGGTTCAATTCCCAGTCAGGGCACATGCCTGGGTTGCAGGCCATGGCCCCCAGCAACTGTACATTGATGTCTCTCTCTGCTTCTCTCTCTCTCTCTCTCTCTCCCCCTCTCTCTTTCTCCCTCCCTTCCCTTTCTAAAAATAAATAAAATCTTTTTTAAAAAATTAAAAAATATATCATAAAAATAAATAGGGAGGGCAAATAGCACAGTGGTCACCTGATTAAGCACCAAAGTTAGAATCCCAAGGTTTGAAGCCTTAGTTGTAGCAATTAACTAGATGTATAGAGCCAGGGGCAAGTTACTTAACCCCTCCAAGCCTTGTTTCTCGTACCAAAATAGATTTAATCAGAGTATCTAAAGGACAGGGTAGTTTTAGGGGTTCTGGAGAAAATACATACACCACACGTACCCCAGTATCTGCCGCATAACTAGCACTCAAAAGATGTTAGCCAGTAACATACCAATGAAATAAAAAGTGGCCTGTGATAATGAAATATTCAAAAACACAGGCCCCATGACTCCAAGTATTACAGGGTGCAGCCAAGAGGGAGGACCCTAAATAGGCATTTGAAATGTGGTCCAGAATTCAAGGTGTCCAGGAGATTTTAAGGTGTCTTCACCCCTTCCCCCACAGGTCTGAGTTGGGGGAAGGGGCACACAGAGCAAGAACATGCAGGGCAGCTTTGCAGCTAATCCATGGCATGGTCATTTAACATACCTATAGCCTTTGGCTGGTCACTTAGATATGCTAAATAGCTATGGCCATGCTCAAGGCCAGGGGGATGGAAAGGGACCTCCCCCCAAGATGTGACTGGGGGGCAGGTCCCCCGAGTTACAGGACCTGTGTGGGAGCTCGGAGAAGATTAGCTCCATGACACGGGGTCACACCTGCCCAGACCCACGATGGCGACCAGAAAAGCTGGAGAAGACAGCAGATTGAGGGCAAGTGTGCCTGAGTGTGGGAGGAGTCGGAAATGGAGCTGCAGAGGAAGATTGGTGTGGGGATTTAAACCCAGACTGGGCAGCCATTGAAAGAGAACCACACGGCCTTGACAGAGTGGGGATTCCCGCAGCACTGGGAGAGAGAACCACGCAGCTTTGGCAGAGTGGGAACTCCCCCTTCCCACAGCTTTAGAAGGGGGAACCACCACCTGGTTTTAGCAGAGATCCCAGCGACTCAGCCGAGGGTGCTGGGAACCCGGGGAGGTCTCCCAGTCGAGATGGAGTACTAACTGGGAATAACCAGAGGACTGCCTGAGCCATGGACTTCTATTTCCTTTCCTGAGATACAGTACTCTGGACTGGGCAAAAGGGGAAAGGAAGGAAGGACTGTGTCTGCTTGTGGGTGTTTTAAGGGACTTTAGGATTTTTTTGATAAAGACATTAGGTCACTACTTTAACTTTGTATAGCATTAAATAAACATTCCCTTTCCTTTTCACAAATCTCTGGCATTGAGAGACGTCTTTCCTCTGGCGGCAGACATGACGGACCTGGGGGCTTTTTTTTCAATAATAGTATATCGTCCCAGGCCCCCCTTGTTTGTTCTGTAACACAAGGACGTATTTTAATCAGAACCACTGCCTCTCCTGTATGGCATCTCCCTTCCCAGAGTGAAGCACAGGCAGGTCAAAGGAATGGCAGCACGTTTTCTCTCACCGTGACTGTGCAACAGATACAGCACCTCATTCTCAACATGCAAGATGGTATTTTCTTTTATAAAACTTTCAGGAACGAAAATGCGATTACCATTGCAACCATGCATTAAGATCTTACTGTAATTCTATATTAGGAAACTTAGTGAAAGGCACAATGAGAACTCATAATTACTTTCAGTTTCTCCATCGACTCCCTGGAGAAGGTTTTACAAGCTGCATCAATTTCCTTTCCTATCACACCAAGAATGGATTCCTGTTCGGTCTCCAGACAAAGAAGTTGATCCTTGAGCTGCAATCTGGCCTCTTCCATCCTCCTTAAGTGCTCTTCTTCGGTGCTTATATGTTTCTCCTAAAGCATTCACCAAAAATAAAAACAATTATTAAGTGGAGGCAAGAAACACCTATAATACCTGTACAACCAACTCAAACAACTGTATCAGAAAACAGACCTGACTTTGTCAGTCCCTTTACTGAAATAAACATTCTGCCTGCTCATTAACTGAGGTCAAATTATAGAGAATTCACAGGTAGGGTATGGAGGGAACTGGTAAGTAGATTCTTGACGAAGAAAATTATAGTTAATCTGTAGCCAAAAGAAAAAGTTGAAAAAAGTCTTTTACCATTTTAATAATTTAATGTCATTAACTCATCAAAGAGTAAAAGCTGACACTACAAACTGAGCTTTCAACAATTGGTAAAACACTAGAAAATGCAAAATGTCAAGTAAGATAGTGTCAGCTCCTTCATTCAGAAAAAAATAAATGTTACTCTACCTTTATCTCATCAAAACATCATTTTTAAAAAGTCTAAGTTTTCAAATGCAGTCATACTGTATAAATGCTTCAAGTCATGAAAACCTGATTAAAGCAAGATGGAGGCACTTTTCAAATAAGCAAATAGTACATTTAATAAAAAGGGATTTCTAAAGAACCCTGTAAGAAATTACAAGGCTTGGGGGCCCCCTGTAGGAAAAACAATTTTCAATCACGATTACACAATTTCATTACTAGAGAAATTCAAGTTGTACTGCACAAGGCTTGGAGGGGAAAAACAGAATCACTAAAACTCTAAGTGTAAAGTGGACCAAACAGTCACGATGGCTGGCCGGGTTGCCTTCAGGCATCCCATGGTAGCCTAATCATCTTTACCTGCCCTAGGACACACAACACAAACAGGAGGATTATGTGGTCAACAAACTGAGCTTGAATTTAAAATAACAAAGAGATCTGCTAGATTAAAAATAATCAGGGAAAGTAGAATGGCATTTTAGCAGAAAAATCACACATTTCCTTTCAATTCAATTTACTTTTAAAAATGAATGAAACACCCTCTGCCCAAAAGAACCATCCTTTCACAACCTGTCTTCTGCCCTGCTCTCCAGCTTCCTCACCGTCCTCTCTCACTCTCATACTTTAACATCTTGCAGCTTTTCAAATACGCCTACATGTGTCTCCTCTGACCAATATGATGTGTTCAACTCTGCTTCAAGTTGCACTATGTCAAATGGAGCTGGTAGCCAAGAGACAGCATTTGTCTCGATGAGTACATCATCCTGGTCTGGATCTCAGCTTTGTAAACTTAGGAACTGGATTTTCTTTTCTTTTTAGGTCCCAGAGTGGAGTCATCTTTCGGCAGTAGAGTAACATTAAGTTCACAAGAGACTCATGTGCAAACCAGAAATGCCCCTCAGTTAACTACATTAGTTTGCACTGAGACCATGACTGCCGTATGGGTCAGAATGCTTATATCAGCACAGCCAGTACCCTTACACCCTGCAGACAAATCTAGATGGGAGGGCAAATTATAATCAGAATGTAACTGAGTGAACAGGAAACCGGAGCAGGGCAATTTGTTTTATGAAAAATGTTTAAACGGCATCGTGCTGATGGCCGCCTGGTGTCTCCATCTACACATCAGGGATTTACAAACTACAATAATAACAAGAGTGTTCCATCCTCCTGCACAGTGTTTGGATGGAGACGGCCGAAGTCCATCTGCCTTTCTTCCTTATCCACGTTTGGATTCTGATGAACTCTCATTCTTGATTGATGTGGCATTTCTTTAGATATGTCGATATCTTCACTAAGTCTTGATCTCATCTAGAAACCCTGACACCTTGGCTCTGCACGGCATCGGATTATCTTATAGATTCCTTACCAGAGAGCAACCTTACTGTCAAGACTCTGGTGAGGACCCTTGCCTCTGGATTGTTTCTGCGTCCCGCAAGCACACAGCTAGATGAAGGCTGACTCTCGGCGACCAGCCCCTTTCCAAAGAGCGCGACTTCAGCAGTCACACGCATCAGATTGGTAGGAGGAGACACATGTGGCATACCTGCCACCTACACTTCTTACCCTGCAAAGTTCATCCTCAAGACTCTTTTCTTTCTTGATTTCTCAATACAGAATGTTTCCACAGCACATTTTCTATATCTTCGTCTAAAAAAAGCTATCAAACTGTAATATAATCGTTTTTGCTCCTGTCTCCTTCAACAAACTGCTTATTTCAGGAGACCACAGGACATATTTATGTTTATCTTTAAATTCCCCAGCTTTGCTACATAAGTGATTTCAACTTTTTTTGAAGACTTTGCCCACTTTGTTCCACTTTGGCCACTTTGTGAACGACCATACAGATCTATACACACAGAGGCTGCACAGGTGTGCTCAGAGGTTTCCTCTCCGTATACTCGGACACAGGCCCGTAGCCCGCTGCGGTGCTCTCGCTGGTGTGACCTTAACAAAGAAAACTCTCCATCAGGGGTTACTGATGTATTTAGAGGACAACTGTTCATAATCTAAATGGAGGCAATTCCCAATAGTGTTCTAACTGACTGTTCTGTTCTCTCTCCCTCACAGACATCTTACTTTTATCCACTATCACTTTTCTGTCATTTGACTCATTAATAAGAAGACAAAACTATTTCTACATTTAGATATTCTTAAAATGTTAATAATGTCATAAAAAGCTCTACCATTCCATTTCTCTAGCAAAGAATGAAAATTTCATTATCCAATTCACTATCCACCGTGAGACAATCAGCATGCTATGCCTAATCTCCCTTTGAAGTAAAACTCAGAACCATGAACTCACATGGACCTCAGAGATCAGTGGGTTCAACTACCTGTCCTTTCAGAAAGCCCTTCTTTTACATTTCTGACAGAAGGTAATACAACCCCTACATGACCAGCTGAAGTTTCAAGGAACAGAATACTTGACAAAACTATAAAATCTCTCATTAGTCTAAGTGCTATACTCAAGAGTTAAAGTAAATAAATGAATCCTCCACCCCTACTAAATCTTCTAAGATTCCAGGTCAAGTTCTATGTCCTTTTATTTAATTAGGTTTCAGATACAGCACCATATCAGTTCTCCATCTTCTGCATGTGCTTTAAGACCATAAATCTAAGAGTTAAGTAAGCTTTTCCACTCTGTACTTAAGCAATTTTAATTTCATTTATTCACACATTCAGTAAGTTTTTATGGCAGGCCTACTTTGGTGAGACATTCTCCTGGGCATAGGAGCAGAATGAATGAGAGAGGTTAAGTCCCCACCCTCACAAAGCCAACAAAGATCAGTATTAAATTCCAACAGTTTTGTTTTGTTTGTGATTTGAGAATACTTATTTGTATACTAATTGTGACAACCAATAAATTAGCTCTTTCTCTCTTTAGTTTCATGTTTCAGAAATACCTCTACCAATGGAGCAAGCGCAGCTCATTCTATGGAAGAGGTGGGAAACTGGCTGATGTTAACCCAATCGTTCTGTCTGATTTGGAGACAGAGAGATTAACAAGGGCAGATGAGAATATTTAGGCACTATGATGCCTATTCCCTGGGCTTCTAGTGAATTCAAAGAGAGCGATAATTCTCCAACAAAAAAGCTACCATATTTCTAGAGACCCAGGGGTAAGACCAGGCATTTTAGAGACTGTGTGGAAACAGGAAGGACGCAGTTCGTCTGACTTCCATGTTTCAGCACGAACGGACACAGATACGTGGGTCTGGGGAATACAAGGAGCTTCTTTGCGAGGACAGAGATCGACCAAGCTGACCAAAGCCATTTGTATAATCCAGGAAGAGAGATATCCTAGACCATGGCTCAATGTGAATTAGAGAATAAACCCTTAATTTTACAAATGAGGAAACCAGCATTCAGACAAACTAAGTAACTTGACGAAATTCAAAGAGCCTAGAACCCCTAACCTGGTCCTCTGACTTCCTGAATAGTGGTCTCTGTTAAAATGCTACAAAGGTCCATTTTCACAAAGTGGGGAGTTTAGATAGCCAATGTGAACAACTCAGAACAGTTATCAGCAGGTTATGTGGGGACTAATATAGTCTGAAAGTAGAAAGAATAACAAAAAAAAATGTTTCTGAATGAGCCTTATCATTAGAAACAAAAATATATGACATATCCGCAAATTCAAAATAGTCCACAAAAAAGAGGAAAAAAATCACCAAGCACACACAATATCTTAAGCTTTTAAAGGCTATCTTTCCACACTGGAGACATACCCCATGTGCACGTTAAATCTGTTCTTGGCAAATTTTAATTAGTAAGTATACTAATCACACACTGAGCATGTGCAGTTCCACCGTCAAGACAGCAAGGGTTTTATGAAGTTTCCACTTCAGGACAAGAAAGGCTTATATTATTGACATTTATTTCTAAAGGAAATAAAAAAGTATACTGCTCACATTTTCATCATACACACACAGACACTGTTGACTGGTTTGATCAATGGACCTCTAATTCAAAGGGTAAGAAAAGTACTCCCCTAATTACATACTGTGTTCCAGCACACTCTTCACAAGTCAGAACATTCACTCGCCCAAAGGCTGGAAAGATTATAAGGAGACATGATCTTAATGGAAATAGAGTAAGTTCAATAAAACTAGACCATCTCCAAAATGTTATCTCCTTGGTAAAGCTTATGAGATTCCTTCAATGTCTTAAGAGTTCCAGAAAAGCTACTTTATTTCCATTATGGTTATTACATGAAATGAAAATAATCCTTCACACACCTTAACAGAAACATTATGGTAAATAAAGCACACTCACGCAACAAAATAAATCATTAATTTCCAAAGTTAATGTTTTTCCGTTACAGAAAACTAACTTGAATAACCAAGTGTGGCAATATTTCAGCCCCAAGGCCACCTTTACTACATCAGCAGGGGCTGGGGGAGAGACAGGGTAAGAGGCAGAGGGAGATCAAATACTATGGGATGGGGCGAAAGCAGGTTTACATTGTTCCCATGGAAAATAATGCAACAATAAATAATGTTAAGAATAAACTCTGTGTTTCACACACTCATAACTGTAAACCTACTTTCACCCCACC